TGTTGTAGTAATTTTGTAGTCCTGAAATATTGATAAAAAAATAAAAAAATGAAATGCGTAATAATACAATATGTAAAGTCATATAAAATGTAATATTCTTCGGTTGGAAGTCAGCAGTCTTTTAGAATAATAGTTAGGTATAACTAAGAGTAAAAAAATTACCCTAACAAAGCAAACTAATTTTCAGACCTCAGACACAAATTTAGAAAAGCTAAATTTAAAAAAAATATATGTTTACTCTTAGTTATTTTTTGATAATTGTTTGACTTGCTTATACACACATATCTATATAGTAATATTACAGAGTTCAGCTATAGGCCTATTTTTATTTATCACATAAAAAAAAATCTATATACTAAACAATATAATCATTTCAAAAAACAAAAAATGTGTTGGTAAGATGGTGAACGAATAACTTACCCAGAAAATAAAAAAGTTTAAATTCACCACCGGCTGCTAATGTAACGTATACATTATTCTCGGTCAATCATAATTACTCTGAAACGTTCTTTTGACACTGGCAAAACTAGAAATCATTGCAAAAGTATTTACATTAAAATGTATTAAACTATGTTATGCTGTAACGAATTAATTGGTTGCAATTATTAATATTGCGCTGTTATGTACAATATTTAGGCCCAACGGGTAAAATGAAAAGCTATCTAAATACTCCTCAGAAATGTGTTTAAAAAAAACACTACCCACCTTTCGATAGTAATTTAAGCACGAATGTGGTTGTAATTAATGTGATTATTAGTTATCCTCAGTTTACATACTATATATGTTACAATATCTATTATTAAATTATTATTATTCTACGTACAAGTCAAGGATTTAGTTAACTCTTTGATTTCGTCTTTGGTTAGTCTAGGAAAGTGATCAGTTAAATATGTTTGAACATTTCCCTTGCTAATTCTACTAGTACAACAACTGGATAAACTGCTTGTTTTTTTACTATTTTGTATCTCATCAAAAATCCTGCCGAGTTCCTAAAATCATTAAATTTTTGTTTTTAATACATACTGTAAATAAAATTATTATATAAATAATGTATCTCTAATTATTACTATTATATCATTTATTAAGTTTATAGAGTTTTTTTAATAATTACCTGATCTGTAAGTTTTGCATTTATTAACATTTTAAATTGCTTCCGCGACATATCAACATCTAGAAATCATTTTAATGGTATTCGCATTAAACTTTACCAATCTATATTATGCTTCAACGTATTAAATTGTTTCAATTATTATTATTGCGAATTATGAACAATATTTAAAATACCTATTACATTTCACCTAAAAAAAATAATTTTATTTGTCCGTTTTCAGGTTTTAAACAACATAAAATTGTGTTAAAAAAAATTTCTGAATGAAAAATGAATATATCAGTATCATTTAAAATTAGTCTAACCGTTACTTAATTATTATTACTCAACGTACTCCACATGCAATTAATTATCTCGTTGGCTTCGCTTGCATTGATTCCATACAACTCTTGCATTTTGGGGTCACTAAAATACCTTTCTACTACACTTCTGGTAACATCTTTGTGTCTATTATGTGTCAAACTTGCATATATTAAACGTTTATACATTTCATCCAGTTGCTAAAATCAGTACATGTTCATTTTTAATACACAGTGTGAAAATATTTTTTATATATATAGGGTGTCTAGAGTTATTACTACTATATTATTCACCACGTTACTAGAATATTTAGTTATTATTTTTTTAATAAATCATATTTTCAGAAAAAAAAATATATAATTACTGATTCATGTAGTGTGTTTCCTATTTTAATATAGGAAATAAAGAATAAAAAAAGAATAAAATATTTCATGTTCATTATGTAATTTTTTTCAACTTGAAAGGCACACAAATATTGTTTTGCAGTTGAAACTTATATGATTCTCATTCTTCTTTATGCATTCTGTTTCTAGCGGTTTCTGTGTAAAACTTGCTTAAAAACACATGTGTTTTTTTCAATTTTTTGTCAATAGGTTAAAAAGTCATATTGAATTTTAAAAGAAATAATCGTGGCAATGGCATGTGAATCATAAAAAATAGTGGTTTTGCCGTTTTACAAACTCGAAAAATGTACCTATTACCTGTTTCCACAACCTTCTTACAACAAAATATTATACTTTAGTTTTTTGCAAACCAAATGTTTAATAGAAATATGTTTTTTTTCAAATCGTTTTCATATTAATATTGACATTATGGACGTTTTATTGGTTGTGTTAGGTTTCTATCATACGATTGCACTAGTGAACTTATCCAAGTTAATTTAGGAATCCTTGATTTTATTTCCACTGTTGTTAAACTTAAGCGCCAAACTAGAATTGAGTAATAAAGTAACTCTTAAAATGTTAAAAAGGCTCGCGAGGAATTGAAATTTCAAGTTCATTGTATGGATAAACACGTTTGGGGTGAATTGAGGTTGGAAATTCGGAGTGACAGAGGCCCTCATACATCTTAAGTTGTATTACATTAGTAGAAAAATATTTTGCACAAAAAAATCAACATACATATTTTGTTGGATACTAGCAAACAAACATGTCTTTACTTAACACCAAAAATATATTTCAAACTATGTACCTATACCAAACCATGTAGCTTTTAATATCGTCCCAAATGGCTAACCTAACAACAACATATTCTTATTTAACATTTTTTTACAAGCTCAACCAAGATAAGCTTTTGGTATGTCATACAATTTTAACGTTTGAATCAAAATTTTTTGTTATTATAAATAATATAATATAAATTTTATTTAAATTTTTTAAAAGACTGTCAGGAATTGAAATCCCCTTAAAGATAAAGGCGTCTAAATGTGTAGTAAATAGGTAGAAAAATAATGTGCTCAAGTATTGTTCAAATAATAAAAAAAACATGATTTCTCACTGACCGCAAAAAATATATTGACTTGAAAAACAACAGAAATTTTAATGTTGCCTACACATTTTATAAAAGCCATACCTATTCAAACTTAAAATATATGATGGTGACCTAAATACGAATTTATAGTATTGAAAATAAAAAAACAACAAACATATTTTGTACTAGTACACATTTTATTGTAGCGAAACCAAATTATCGGATTTTTTATACTATAGGAATGCTTCTTGATAGGATACTATCAAATTAACATGTTTTAAACACGAAAAATATATTTCAAACTATGTACCTATACCAAACCATGTAATTTTTTATATCGTCTGAAATAGCTAAATTTACTTCAACATGTTCTTGTTTAACTTTGTTTTACAAGCTCAACCTCAGTTATGCTATCAGTATGTCATACAATTTTAACGTTTTAATCATATTTTTTTGTAGGTAAAAACTATAATGTACATTTTATTAAAATGTTTTAAAAGACTGTCAGGAATTGAAATCTTCTTGGGATAGGGGCGTCTTAAAAATCTAAAGGTTTAGTAAATAAGTAGAAAAATAATGTGCATAAGTATTGTTCAAATAATAAGAAAACATGTGTACTTACAGTACGCAAAAAATATATCGGTTTAAAAAAACAACAGAAAATATTATTTTGCCTACACATTTTATAAAAGACGTACCATATTATGTTGATGTTATTTTAGTGTTTATTTTCAAATATGAGCCCTGAACTACGTATAGTAAAGCAAAATAAATAAAAACACTACCTTTATATGAGTTATAATAAATAATAGTAAAAATATTCCACAACAAAAACCAAACCTTGACCAAAAATTCCAGACCGTTCCCAAACAAGTCAGCCTATTAAAATAGTGACATCTAAATTGTAACCAAGTCTAGTCTTCCTTTAGTCCATAACCTTACTACACTCCTACTTTCATGAACAACGCTGCTCTTAAATTTTTATTGCATAACATAGACAAGTGCTTCCTGGCCCGACCCGTTACAAAGATTCCATTTTCACACAAGTCTAAAGCTCGGATGTTGATGACTGCATATTTTTTTTTAAGTGAAATCAAATATAATTTTAATCTAAAAATATATTTGTCAATAATGTTTATTTCTAGGTATAGTAGCATATTCGTAAGTATAATAATTAAAAATATTTTATTGCGTTTACGAGTATGAGCTAAAGCTTATATACACAATATGAGGAAAAGTATTAAACGAAAATCCTGTATATAAAATTATACTGTCCAAAATTTCTTAAATAATCGTCATTGTTCTTTAAATTTGAAAACACCATCAAAATAATTGTAACTCAATGTTGTCCTGATACATAAAATACCTTATTAAATAATTATACTGTATAAAATGTTATTTAAATTGTGTCAAGTCGGCTAACATTTTCAGCCAATTTCAATAAAAGTATATAATTGCATATTGAGGACATTTTTTTAAGTATAAGAAAATGACATGAACATTTTGAAAAACCTTAAGTAAGTATTTAGTAGTACTATTAAACAATGAGTATTATAGCCTATTAACTGTATCATTGTATGTCAATTGAATCATTTTTTCAACCATCAGTATTTTTTTGTTTATTATGTAATACCGTGGAATTATATTTTTCAAAAAATAAACTTAAGTCAGTAAATCAGCTAAATTTTCGTAAAAATGTTATAGGTCAATATTAATTTATTGTATCTTTTATATGATTTCACCAGTACAATACCAAAGTACTATTCAATGATATTATTATGTTAAAACCTTGCTTCATTCTTATTAAAAAACTACAGAAAAAATAAAATCAAGTATTCCTAACTAAACTTAAGTAAAAATGTTTTCTACAAAATATTTGGTGTATAAAGGCAAAAAATAAAATTACAATAGACGGTTTTGTAAACAAATATTAGATACATTTTTTGGGTTTTTCAAACGGCAAAACAACAACTGTTCTTTATGGTTAACATTTTTTTAAAATTCAATGTGAATTTTAAACGTTTATTGAACAAACAAATTATATATGTGTTTATTCGGCTTTACACTGAAATCGCTATAACAGAAGCCACCAAAAAGAATAAGAATCATTAAAGTTTTAAATTCCTGCAAAGCTTTAAGACGTGTCTAACGTATTCCGATCATAATGCATTTTAAATATGCTGGTATATTCTTTTTATACTTTTTTTATTATTATCAACTAGCAAACGCAACAAATCAACGAAAGGAAGTTATTAATTATGAGGTAATTAAATTATTATTGATCTCATATCTAAACGTATGATTCATTAAAAAAAAAAATAATAATAATAATAATAAGTAAATATTCTATACGCCTAATGAATAATACACTAGTAATAATTCGAAGCACATAATTTCTGTAATAATAGTGTTCACATTGTGTATTAAATATAAAAATTTAATGATTTTAGAATGTGGGTATATTGTATGATGAGGTACTTCTTGCGGATCAAGAGAAGAGATTACACAGTTCCAAGTTTTCTGAGTGTTTTCTAAAAAATTTTAAAATTTTGAATAGAGGAAAAGTTACCAGACCTGGAATAAGACGATACTTGTATGGCAACTCAGAAAATTTAATTGGATTAAAATTAACTACAACAGATGTGAAAATCCTTACAGAACAATTGCCGGCGAGTACGTTAAATAATAATAATTCAGTAATAGAAATTATTAAATATATATATATATGTGAAATGTGAATAACTAATAATCATTTGTAAGTAATAATCATAATTGATATTTTACATAAACTATTATTCATAACAAGAGTGATTTTTTTACAAAGTTACTGATGTGTACTTATCATTTTATGCAGAAGTCGTCTGTAAAGGTATTTAGCAGGAAAAGTTATAAAATATGAAACATCTTCGTTTTCTAAAAAATAATATCATAGAAAACAATTTTATAACTGTTAGACTAATTGTATATAATACTGAAATATTCATATTATTACGTACCCCGTGACAAAATTGTAGATTGTTTAAAAACTAAACAAGCGGACAAACGAAATTAGCCAAATGTTGTACATAAAAACACAGTTATAATAATTGCAACCAGTCAACAAGTTACAACATAATATACCTATTTTGGTGAATGTTAACGTGAATACTTGTATAATGTTTTCTAGAGGGCCATATAACAAAAGACGAATTAAGAGATTTGTTTCTAGTTCAACAAGGACGCTACAACACCAGCAGGTGATGGATTTAAAAACGCCTCTAGGCAAGTAATAATTTTATACCCTTTTATCAGTTCATTGTATGTACTGGTACATGAATTATTATCGCATGATAAATTTATTTCTATATTAATATTTCAGAGCCACAAAATTACAACAACGTCCTATCGTCGTTCACTTTAGTTAAAAATCCGAAATATTTCAAATATTTAATTTATATCTATTAAAAAAAAAAAAAATCAAAATTTTATGCTGTTGCTAGCTTATTTTTAAGTTGTGTGTATTAATTCTTAAAATTCTAAGAGTGTGTGGGTTATTTTTGTTTTAATTGATTATAGTATTAATTGTGTGATTTGTAAATGTTTTATTTAAACATTTAAACTCCATAAAAATGTTAAATATCTATTTTTCTGCCGAATAAAATTATAATTCACCTTAGCTGCTCCAGTGACTTTGTTTTTGATAATATAAAACGTAGATTGTTGTATTTTCTATCTAATATTTACATTAAGACACAATATTTTTCTATGAAATTGTCCTAATGTAAACATTAATTAATATGAATACAATAAAAAAAAAGTATTAACTGGAATACAGCACATACGTAGGTAAAAAACTATTTGTTTAAATATTATTGTTGTATTGTATACAAAATTGGTATTTTCTAAAATATTCGTCAAAAATGTGTGATGTTAACAGTTGTGCTACATTTAACTACAATCAAAAATGTTTCAAAATGTTTTAAATAAAGAAAAACATAAAATAAAGAACTGCTCCTGGGAGTTAGAATAATTAATAATTAACTTTATCTTTTTTTTTTTTATATATGATTTATATTGTACATGCATTACTTTGAAGCGGAGCTTAGACTATGTTCTACTTAGTTATAAGTATTAGAAAGTTGCAAAAAAAGCCTAGGCATTAACGCGTTTATTAAAAATTATATTGGTATTACATAAAATCACTTTAAGTTATACTAATTTATGTCAACAATACATGTATACTTAATAATGTGAATGACACATGTAATATACAACATACTTTTTCATAATTTTCTTTTACAATAAATTGAATGTTGTTATATATAAATAGCTGTTTTTGGGAAATCCAAAAAAATTGGAGAATAACACTGACCAAATCGAATCCACCATAATTATATTTTAGTTTTTTACAAACTAAATGTTTTATAGAAATATGTTTTTTTTTAAAACGTTTTCATTTTAATATTGACATTATGGATGTTTTGTTGGTTGTGTTAGGTTTCTATCATATGATTGCACTAGTAAACTTATCCAAGTTAATTTCGGAATCCTTGATTTTATTTCCACTGTTTTTTTTTTAAACGAATGAATCTAGGTTCATCAATAAATTCAGGGTAAATCAAAAATAGTTTAGTATTGTACTGGTAACATCATATGGAATCAGGGCCGGTGCTAAAAATATGCAAGGGGGGGGGGGTGTCAAAATGAAGATGCTAAACTTTAATACGGTGTTTTTTTTAATGTGGACTATTTCTTTGTTATTTCTTCCAAATCAATTACATCGAGAATATCTCTGGTGGAGTTTAAAATCATGAGGGTCATTTTTTATTATTTTTAAAAGAATTAGAAGAAAAATGATAATGATGTGATATTGTTATAAATTGTGACTAGATTTTTTTTATTTTTAAAATGTTTTTCGGAGCATAGAAATATTTTAGGCAGCTACCAAATTTATCTATTACTAAATTTTTCAGATCTCAGTCACCAATACTAAAACAGTTTGAGCCCTACATTAAAAGCATTATTTTAAAAATGTTTGAATTATTTAACATAATTATAACGTATTGCAGTTGAAACTGCAATTTAACTGAGATCACGACGGCCACTGTTTTTTTGGCAAACCTATGAAATAGGAGGAATTGTAATATCTTTACAAAGTCGATCGGATTGATGAAAATAAAAATATATACTTATAGAGGGATAGAATGTTTGTTTACAATAGACCAATAGGTCCCATAATCGAACATAGTTTTATATAATATACACCACAGTTATTATAAACAAATAATAATACTTCTGCTAAAATCGGGAATAACCGAAAATGCATTGTTTTTTTATACTAAAAACTAAAATTATATTTTCGTATGGTCGTCCGTATGCCGACTATTTACTATGCAGTCGCCAGATTCCAATAAAAATTATGTACCTACCTACTTTAATAAAATTAAAATAATAAATATCTTATTTGTATAATTTTATGGGGGTTATGATATTTACCGACTTTTTGTTCCGAATGTGCCGACTGTGTATACTTGAGTTTTCCGAGTGGGGGGGTGTCAACCCCCCCCCCCTCTAAGTCCGGCCCTGTATGGAACATGCAACAATAAAATTAACCAGATTACAATTTACAGCTTAATTTAAATTAGAAATTAAAAAATAAATTTTTTTTTGTATAATATTTAGAAGTCGAAAAAATGTTATTTTTTGGCTTTTTGCAAACCAAACGTTTTTTTTTTTCAGATAACTTGCATTTCAGTATTAATTTTTTGGACGTTTTATTGGTTGTATAAGGTTTCTTTCATATGATTATTATTATTTTTAACGGTTGCTGTTATAGCGATTTCAGTGAAAAACATACGCATATGTGTTTTTTTTGGGTCAATAGCTTGAAAAATATTAAATGTTTAAACATATAATCGTGGCTATTGCATATGAGTCATAAAAAAATAGTTCTTTGGCCGTTTGACAAGCCCGACAATTGTACCTATTTCTTGTTTACACAACGTTCTTATAATAAAATGTTATATTTTGGCTTTTTGCAAACCACGTTTTTTGTAGTAAAATTATTTTTCATCAAATCACTTCCATATTAATGATGATATTGTGGAAGTTTTATTTGGTGTATTAAGTTTCTATCACATGATTACACTGATGAACTTATCAAAGTTAAGTTAGGAATCCCTGATTTTAATTCCACAGTTGTTAACCCCTTTCTTCTTAAAATAATGAAGCAAGGTTCTTCGAAAATATCGGTAAACAATAGTTTAGTATTGTACTGGTAACATCAAATAAATAATACAACAAAACAATATTAATTTAAAAAATTTGTACGAAAATTTAGCCCATTACTATATACAGTTTAATTTAAATTAGAAAATTGAAAAATACATTTTTTTGAATGTTTAGAATTCGAAAACCTAATTACACATCATATTGGGAGTTCGCAATCCTTATTTACCTAAATATATATATATTAATTATATTTAACTATATGTTGCCAGCTGGATCGATCTATTGTAGAATACGGATCTATTATTTGGTCTTCGTATCAATTTACCTTATATCTTTATAAGTATTTTTTCTGTATATATTTTAATGTGTTTATTGATAGATTGTTTTAAATTATTACTTTGTTAAATTATGTTATACTCTATGCCTACTTAGGCGTACTTGCGGTAGCTCGGATAACTGTGCTTGTTTTGGGCTGTACTGGGTTGAACATATTAACTACTGATTCACATTGAAGCGTTTAATTGAAAGTGATTTTATCACATTCGGTTGTAATAATTTCTGTAACTACAGCACGTTCTATCACGTTAATTCGTTTAAATAAATTATTATTTTAAATAACTGTTTATTATTATTATTGTTATTATTAGGTATGGGCTATGACTTCTGAGAACTTAATACGACAATGCTTCCTTTCACATAAGTGCCTCCCTCCCCTGAATTTTAATCCTCGGGCGCCCTTCCATTGAATCAGTTATTGAAATTTGTTGCCTAAGTATAAATTGTTATACTATGTGATCTCAACCTAACCCGTTAAATATCAAGAGTTCTGTATTATAGGTATTCATATATTCAAATCAAATAATATGGTATGTCTTTTACAAAATGTGTAGGAAAAACATATTGTAATTTTCATGTCTTAGCTCTGGCACAGTGTTGATAACGAAAAATTTTGTCATGAAAAGAGCGATACGCTGGTATCTGATAAGAGATAAGAGATAAGAGATTATTGATGAGGGATGGAGTTGGGGTTTGGGGTGGGAATTAGCTCTGGCACATAACCGAAAAAAGTGTTACCGAAAAAGCTGTTATTTTAAAGTATGTGTTGTATTCACAATGATTAAATTATAATTGAAAAAAAATTCAAAATAGTTTAAGAAGCCCAATTCTCTATGAATTGGTAAAGACCAGATATTATGAAAACACTAAAATATTAGCCTGAAACATGATATGCTTACTGTAATTTTTTCTGTTGTTTTTTCATACCGATATATTTTTATAGTATGTGGTTTCAACCCCTTGCGCTGCGGGTACCCGGCTGTTTTAGATATTACTCGTACTTATGTCTATCCAGGTACCGGGTTAATTATCTATAAGGGTATTACCAATTAAATACAAAGAGCTCTACTTGATAGGGTATTCGTATAATCAAATCAAATAATATAGTATAGCATATAAAATGTGTA